GGCTGTGAGCACACCATTCATTAGGGAGGCTTGGGCAGAGGTGTGCTTAGAGGCAGGTGAGCTCTGAGGTCAGCTAAGTAGACAGTGACCTGCCTTGTCAGGCCTTGTACGTTAGACAGAGACATTTTAGTTTGGTGCAGGGCTGACATGAAGGCATTTTGGGACCATAGGCTGGGCAGTGACATGAAGAGCACCTGGTTTTGGTATGTCCCTCTGTCCTTGGTCTAGAGAACTGGGTGAAGGAACATGGACTTGGATGTAAGGAGAATAGGGAGCAAGCCAATGGATTTGGGGTTCACACTGGGATAAAAACAAGTGGGAGGGCACCCTTAACAATAAGGCGGATAACCTGGATTTCTTGTGCTGTGAGCCCATTTCCTACCCATCTACCTCCTGCCAACCTCTCTGCTGCCACCTAGGGTCTTCTGCATCTGCCTTCTGCCAACCAACTTGCGCTCAGACTTTCTACATACACAGCCTGGGCAAAATGCCTTGGACTTTATGTTTTCCTAGTCTCTGCAAGGCACGCTCCTTGTGTAAACTCCATTCATACTTCCTTCCAATCCTAAGGACTGAGTCTCTTCAAAGTAGTCACTTAGTGCATGGCATAAAGGGCTATCCCTAGGCCTCAAGGTGCAGTGAGGGTGGACCAGGGCTTCTCAGCTTCAGTGTTATTGACATTTTGGGCTGAATAGTTCTTTGTCGTGGGGACCATCACTTTCACATTGTAGGATATTAAGCAGAATCCCTGACCTTTACCAACAAAATGCTGGGAGCATCCCCTGAGTGTGATGATCAACAGTCTCCAGACATTAGCAAATATCCCTGGGGATAGGGGGCAAACTTGCCCCTGTTTGAGAACCACTGGGTTATACAGTGGCAGAGGGAGAAACTCAAAGGTGGAGCTTAACCAGTACATTGGTGTCAGGGTTACTGTCTCATCAGGCCATTGAGATTTGCCTCTATCTCCTAAGAGAGTCCAGGGGAGTTGGCCAGGGTTTTAAATCTCTGTCCTGGCTCCTGGGTGGCTCAGTGGGTTAAGTCTCTGCCTTCAGCTCAGGTCATGATCTCAGGGTCCTGGGATCAAGTCCCACATCGGGCTCTCTGCTCAGCGGGGAGCCTGCTTCCCTCTCACTCTCTGCCTGCCTCTCTGCCTACTTGTAATTTCTCTCTCTGTGTGTCAAATAAATAAATAAAATCTCTAAAAAAAAATCTCTGTCCCAAGCACAGTCCTAGTGATTCATGTGAATCATAGCAATTCTGTGAAGTAAGATTTCTTTCCCTCTGCTTTATAAGATGAATATGAGCAACAATCCAAGGGCCCAAAAACAGAGACGAGAAAATTGTGGTATAGTCACACAATAAATACAATACTGCAGTGAAAACAACTGGACAGGGATGCCTGGGTGGTGCAGTGGGTTAAGCCTCTGCCTTTGGCTCAGGTCATGATCTCAGGGTCCTGGGATTGAGTCCTGCATTGGGCTCCTTGCTCAGCAGGGAGCCAGTTTCTTCCACTGCCTGCTGCTCCCCCACTTGTGCTCTCTACCTCTGACAAATAAATAAAATCTTAAAAAAACCAACACCCCCACCGCCAAAAAAACCCCTACAACTGGACAATAGCCATATGCAAAACAAGGGTGAACCTGACCAGAATAGAGGTGATACAAACAAGCCTCAAGACCACATATATGTTTAAACCTCAAAACAACACTCATACATATATGCATATACATATGTATGAGTATACACACATGTACACATATGTACACACACATACAAATGTATACCTAACATATATTCACAAGGGAATACTAAACACAGAATTCAGGATAGCCACAGGGTGTGAGAAACATACAAAAGTAACATACCAGTTAAATATATATAACATGCAGAACATAGGGTTCTGTCCAAAGTTTGTGTTTTTTTTTATGAAAATATGTGATTTTTCTGTCTTTTATTCTTTTTTTTTGTATTAATTTTTTTAATTTTATTTTTTATAAACAAAGTTTGTGTTTTTTATGCATCATGATTCTTGATGCAATCACAACAGTCCTTGGTGGTATACCAGATGTCTTTAGTGCCTTGAGCCACAGTAAAATGAAAGATGTCCTTCTTTTTTCCATCTTTATTGAGGCATCATTGACAAAACTGTAAGGTACTTGAAGTGTACACGATGATGATTTCATATACATAATATATCATGAAAAGATTCCTCCCGTCTAATTAACACATCCATTAAATCATATTTTTGGGAGGGAAGCATTTGAGAACATTTAAGTTCTCTTAGCAAATTTCAGTTATGCACTACAGTGTTATTAGCTAGAGTGACTATGTTATATGTAAGATCCCCATACTATACTCATCTTATAGCTGAAAGTTTGTACCACTTTTTTTTTTTGTTTCTAGGTGATTTTTTAAAAAAAATTGAATTTCTTTTCAGTGTTCCAGAATTCATTGTTTATATACCACACCCAGTGCTCCATGCAATACGTGCCCTCCATAATACCCACCACCAGGCTCACCCAACCTCCCACCCCGCCTCCCCTCCAAAACCCTCAGATTGTTTCCCAGAGTCCACAGTCTCTCATAGTTCATCTCCCCCTCCAATTTCCCCCAACTCCCTTCTCTTCTCCAGCTCCCCATGTCCTCCATGTTATTCCTTATGCTCCACAAATAAGTGAAACTGTATGATAATTGACTCTTTCTGCTTGACTTATTTCACTCAGCATACCATTTACCAACCACTTGAGAAGTTTCTTTAGAAGGAAGAAAGGCAAGGACAGAATCAGACAAAAATGGGTATAAAAATGGGTTGCTTTAAGATGGGATTGGGAGGGAGACAAACCATAAAAGACTCTTAATCTCACAAAACAAACTGAGGGTTGCTGGGGGGAGGGGGATATGGAGCAGGTGGGTAGGTTATGGACATTGGGGTGGACATGGGGTTATTGGGGTGTGTATGTGCTATGGGGAGTGCTGTGAAGTGTGTAAGCCTGATGATTCACAGGCCTGTACCCCTGGGGCAAATAATACATGATATGTTAATAAAAAAACGGGCTGTTTTAAAAACAATAAAAGTGGTAGGTATGAGCATGGGGATTGATACCTTTTCCAGGTTGAGGTTAACATTGTTTCTCAAATATATTCATGTTCCCATTATGACTAACCTATTTGGTGAGACCAAAATATTTCTTCTGAAAGTTGAGAGCTTTGGGATGTAGATAGGAATAAAATGGAGTGCAGTGATCCCTGCAGTTTGCAAGGTGCCAAAATGACTAGTGATGAGTTGGACGGCAAAAGAAATAGTCGGTGCTGTAACACAAAAAGCAATGGTAGAAAAAAAAAAGGCATTTGAATGACAAGGGTGAAGATTTCCCAGGCATCATTCTGATCAGAAAAATTTTTCTTCCTTTTAAAATGAGGGTAAGGAAGAGGGTGCCAAGGAGAAGGTACTCTTTAGCTGGTACTTTGAAAAGTACCTTCCAGAATTTCCAACATTTTTAGTAATTGTGAGGCAGTTAATAAAAATAAAAACAACCTGAGGTTAATTGATAAACTCTCAGTACTTTGAATACTTGGGTAATGAACTAACACATCCCACAGAGTGAGTTAGTAGCCAGAAAATGGCACTAGCCCTATTGGGATCCCAAGGCCATGATCTTTCTATTCTGTTGTGAATCTCTGGTGTGAACTGGATCAGACATGGACCAGTGTGGGATGCTGAAGATGGCTGGTGACACAGAGCTGGGATGAGCCTAGAGAAAGAGGGGAAGAATTAGGACAACCAATGCCTCATAAGTCCCTCTTGGAAGAGGGTGATTTAACACTAAAATTATTTTGCAGTGATGTCCTAATATAGCTATTGGTTGTTGTAGTTTCATATTTATAGAATTTATATGTTGTGAACTCCATAATATGATTTAATCCTTGGCAAAATATTTTGTAGTTATTAAAATTTTCAGATTAAAAGATTGTCTTTGGGTGTATGGATAAGTAGAGGTAAGAATTCATACTGGTTTAATCTAGTCACTGGAGTGGATGAATGGTCCCTAGCATAGAGCCTGGGCCACCTGCCCAAGAGTCAGCATACTGCTATACAAATGTCAGTCTTCAATCACTGGGTTATAGTCTTTTTCTTCCACTCCAAAGTTAGGAGGTCTAACAGGTGATTAAGACCAGAGGTTTTGGGGTCAACCTAAACTAGGTTTGGACCTTATTTCAACATTTTATTGCTTGCAAAATTTTGGGAACAGGATTTAAACTCTTTGAGTTGGTTTTGCTATACCTCTAACATAGTAGTGAGAATCATACCTTCTACTTAAGGTTATTGCAAGATTCAATGAAAAACGAAGTCAATGACTTGGTATATAGTAAGTATGCTATAAATGGAATGGAAACATTTCCTACTACTACTGCTGCTATTATTTTTAGTGGTACTAATAAAACTGAGTTTCAGGAAAACCAAATGGGAAGAAGGTTCTTAGAGGTGGAGATATTGACGTGCCCTTGAGATGCACTGCCTGGTTTTCTATTCACCATCCCGTACATCACCCTCTTTCAACTGGGTCAAGGCTTCATTTCCTGATCATCTAAATGGTGCAGAACTGCATTCCTGGAGGAAGAACAGGCTGCTTTGGCTGGGCTGAGGCCTCCTGATGAGAGGTTAGTTCAGAGAAAGGCCTGCTTCAGGGCAGCTGGAGAACAACCTGTAAAAGAGACAGCTCATCCCAGAGCAGGAACCATCAAGGAATCCAAACTCAGCAAAGAGAACTCTCAACTCAACCGACAAGTTTTTAAAGTGGGGACAATATCTATCCAGGCTCATGAAGCCTGCTAATCAGATGTTTGTAGGCAAATGAGTAGAAACAATAACAAGGAAAGATGCTCTAAGTTGTACCAACACCCCTAGTGAAGGACTATAAAAGCCCCCATGTATTAGATGTCTTTCGCACTCAGGTATACTGAGTTTGCAACTTCCTAGCAAGGTTAACACCAGTGCCATGGGGGACAGCTGTTGTCCCGGAACCACCATGGCCATTCCAGCCGTGCCCACTTTCGTGTGCTCAAATGGTGGTGGCTTCCGAAATGCTATTTGCTTGCCTAGTTCCTGCCGGAGCAGAACGTGGCAACTGGTCACATGCCAAGAAAATTGTCAGCCATCCAGCAGTACCCCAAGTGTCTGTGAACCTGCTTCTTGCCAACCTACCTGCCTTCCAGCAACTTCTTGCGTTGGTTTTGTCTGCCAACCCATTTGCTCCTGCACAGCTGGCTATGAATCTGGAACTGGTCAGCCTCCTTGCCTGGTTAGCTCATGCCAACACTCCTGCACGGAATCTACGGAATCTACCAGTTGTCAGGCAAATTGCTGTGAAGCCAGCCTCGACCAGCAAAGCTCCTGCCAAGAACCTGTCTTTGTGTCCAGATCATGTCAGTCAGCTAGTGGCCAATCGGTCTGCTGTGACACTGTGTCCGGCCATCCATCCTGCTCTGAGGTAACTTCCTGTATTGAAAATTCTTGCCCACCAACCATCTGTGCAGCTAGTCCATGCCAGCCAACTTGCTGCCAGGCAGGTTCTTGTCAACCCATTAATGGTGAAGATCAGCTCTGCAAATCAACTTATTACCAACCCATCTGCTACTTTTTCAAGACTTGCCAGTTGGTTCCCTGCATGCCTGTTCCCTGCCAGCCATCAACTTGTGTGTTAAGTTCTTGCAATCCTACATGCTGTGTGTCCTCACCTTGCCAGCCACTTCACTGCCAACCAATGTCTTCTATATCCTTCATCTGCCAGCCAGTGGCTAACTGCCAGCTCCCATGTTCTGTAAACAACCCTTGCAAAAGAGTTTCCTGTGGCACTGTGCTTTCTGGCCAACCAACTTGTGATGGATCCACTTCTTGCAACCAAGGTGGCTGCAAATCTCCTTCCTGCCAACCAGCTTGCTGTGTGACAGGTTTAGGCAAATCATCCAGCAGTGGCTGCAATTGCTTTCGGCCAACTGCCCCAAGTCTCTGCAAAACCAAAACCTGCTCGCCAACTTCCTGACCACCAGTCACGAATCCAGCTTCCATAAGGCAACACTTCACTGAAGCAGGACTCTTCCCATCTACCCTGTGGTCTGCCACTATCTGCAAGTGCATTGCCACTCCATGGTGCTCTCTTCTGGCTGAGGGCAAATTCTATCTGTGTGCTAACTTCATTTTGAGTCCAGCCCCACATTCTCACCAGGTGCCGATGAGGGAATTTGTCCAGCCACTAAGAGATCTTTCTTCATCAAGGAGGACATTTCTGTAAGCCTGGATCACACTACAACTTGCATTTCCTCATTTTGTCAATTCATTTCACATCAGCAAGGCCTTCTCTCCAGTCTTTCTTTCTTTCTTCCTTCCTTCCTTCCTCCCTTCCTTCCTTCCTTTCTTTCTTTCTTTCCTTCTTTTTGGTGTTGTCCAGTCTTTAAAAAGACTCCTTTGTTGCCAACTGCTAATAAAAATGTGAGTGATTGAACAAAACTTTCAGAATGTTTTCATTCCCTTCAATATACCCCTACATAGATTTCCTTCAGGTCACATTTGGACATGATGACCTCGGCCCTCTAAATTAGTGGATCTGCTTTAGTCTGAAAGGGTGGTCAGTGTCTGCAATTACAGATGCTCAAGTTGGAAGGGAGAAAGGACAAACAATCCCCTGGCTTCCAATCTTTATATCACCAAAAGCTCTTTTGAGTTGAGTAGACTCCAGTTCCCCACAGTGAACAGACTTGGGAAGCCGAAGACTGAAATGGTCTAGCGAAGCCATAGACTAAAAGAAAGTAAGCTTTTTGGCCATTGAGAATAGCTAAGGGTTGATTAACTTAACACTGTTTTTTTAAAAAAGATTTATTTATTTATTCCAGAGAGAGAAAGAGAGAGAGCAAGCAAGAGCAGGGGCAGAGGAAGAGGGAGTCCTAAGCAGACTACGCTGAGTGCAGAGCCGGATCCTACAACCCTGAGATAACAATCAGAGCCGAAGCCAAGAGTTGGACACCCAAACGACTGCATCACCCAGGCACCCCTTGACCCTGGTTTTAATGATCAGTTCACCTAATGGACAATTTAAATAAAATGTAAAATTTGAAATTTATGGCTGTTGTTTGTTTGCTTAAGTTTTTGACATTTTAAGAGGCAGTTTTAAAAATAATTAGTCTAAGGAAATACCGGACCAAATAGTCCTATTATGTAATTATCAAAACTAAACATTTAAGAAATGGCTGGACTGGTTTTCTTTTCTTTTCCTTTCCTTTCTTTTCTTTTCTTTAAAGATTTTATTTATTTATTTGCAGAGATCACAAGTAGGCAGAGAGGCAGGCAGAGAGAGAGAGAGGCGTGGGGAAGCAGGATCCCTGCTGAGCAGAGAGCCTGATGCGGGACTCGATCCCAGGACCCTGGAATCATGACCTGAGCCAAAGGCAGAGGCTTTAACTCACTTAGCCACTCAGGCACCCTGTACTGGTTTTCTTTTGGGAAAGATTAGAGGGAGGTTTGCAGAGTGTACTTGTAGCAATTATGTAGAGTCCTTCCTCAAGGGGATCTGGCCTCCCCTTTAACCAAAGGCTCTGGGTCTGTGAAATGATTTAAGTCTGAAACTCAGAACATTCTTACATGGGTCTATAAGGGGGCATAGTTGAGGATGCTCACATTTCTGTGATAATACAGATTTTAAAGGAAATCTGTGTCCACCACTAGGACGGTGGATAGGCAGCAAGAGGTCATTCTTTCCATGAGGTACTCTCTTGGTCTGGTTCTCCAGAGAGAGCCAAAAGGATATATATAAAGAGATGTAACAAGAGGAATTTTCTCATATGATTTTGGAGGCTGGTATGTCCAAATCTGTAGTGTGGGCCAGCAGGCTAGATATCAAGGAAAGCTGACAGTGAAGATGAAGTCTGAAGGCTGTCTGCTGGAGGATATACTTTAAAGAAAATAAAATAGCTGCCTATAGGAAGATAATGGGACATAAGGAGAACAGGAATTAAATTAATTGGTATATAAGTACATAAAGAAAAAAATAAGACCGAGATCTTGCAAGGACAAAAAATGGCAATATGCCACAAGGAATATAATTAACTCAATTATTTACAACTGAAGTCCAAAAAGAAAATTAAAAACAGGAAGGAGAGAGGAACCTTGATACTGCAAAAGAATGACCATAGATAGAATGTCTTCTAGAAATGACATTTTGATGGATACCCCATTTAAATGATCTCTCCACATCTGCCATGGAGATTTCAGTCATGCCAGAGGAAGAATGAGGCTCTGGAAGGTGTGATGAATCTCACCTCAGTTCTGGACAGAACTGTCAACATTTTCTTACATTATAAATTTAAGGAATTATATCTCTTCAAATAATTTGCTTTCTAATACCAGAATTCTTGGCATAGCTAGAATTTCAAAGTTCATTTTGTAATAGTTTTTGACCCATCTCTATGTATGTTAATTTTTTCCTTTTTTTTTTTTTAACCTTTCCAGTTGTGGATTTCTCTGTTGTACTGGTAAGTGTTTTACACTGGCTACCTGCCAACATGCAAAGCCCACATTTTAAACATAGCAAGTGTAAACAGTGTACTGGGAAGCTGTTCACTTCTTCCATACTTGGCAATAGTTTAAATAATGAAGCATTTATTAGCTCCTTTCAGGTTTGCTAGTACTTGTCCATAACACGTCTGAACCTCCTATTAGAGACAATGTTCTGCCACACCTGAACATGCTTATAAGTAAATCTTTATTTACACTTACATCCCAAATGGGGGAGCAAAATACAGGGAAGTTTTTAGAAAAATATTAGAAATGCCACCACTCAGAATGGACATTTTCTTATATCTACTTCAGATCTTTAAAAAGCATAATTTAAGTAAACATTATTGATAAAGTTGAAGTCCCTTTTGCATAGGTCTCCAGCTCCACAACATTTACCTTCTTTCCTTCTCAGATACAACCTTATGTAACCTTCCAATTCCTGTTTATATAAAAGTATAAACAGTGACTAATATTTATAAAGTAGCTAATATATAACAGTAGGGTTTGGAAATATAAGAATTCACATGTACAACGTAAAATTATGTAATCTTATTTTTTCCTTCACTACTGCTTTTAAGAATGACATTTTTAAAATCAAGAATTAAGATTTATATCAATCATTACTATAGTTCTTTATTAAGAATTAAAAATATATGTGTTTTATTCCATTTTGATACATGATCTGTTTCATTATAGTAGTTATTGCTGCATAAAAAATGACCCCAAAAGTTTGTGGCTGAGAACAACAAACATTTATTATCTCACTGTTTCTGTGGTTTAGAAATCTGTGGCTTAGCTAGGTACGTCTAACTCAGCTTCTCTTATGAGGTAGTTGTGGAGGTGTTGGCTGGGGCTGCATTGGTTTCATAACTTGGTTAGGGAAGGATTCACTTCCAAGCTCACTTATGTGGCTGTTGGCACACTCTAGGTTCTCACCAGCTGTTGGCCAGATAAATCATTTCCTTGCCACATGGGCTTCTCCACACACTGGCTGATAGTCCTCATGGCCTAGCAGCTGGATTCTCCTAGAGCAAATGGTCCTAGAGGGAGAGAATGAATACTTAATATGAATGTCACAGGTCTTTTACAGACTAATCTTGGAAATGAGAACCCACCACATTCATTGTACTCTCTTTGTTAGAGGCAAGTCAGTAAATCCAGCCCACACTCAAGTAAAAGGTATTGCACAAAGGCATGAATACTAGAAGGTGGGATAATTGGCAGTCATCTTAAAGATTGCCTACTACACTCTGCTTTTTATCATCCCAGTGATCCACATATTAAATATACTCACTCACTTCTGAAGTCCTCCCAGATATCATCTAATTACACCATAAGCTTAAAGTCCAGAATCTCATTGCTGAAATCAGGTCCAAGTATGGATGAATCTCCTTGGGTGTGACTCCTTAAGTATAGCTCCAAAGTACACTTCTTCTAGATCTATAGACTTGCAAAATGAATGGGATAAATTATCCAAAAGGAAGGATAATGGCAGTGAATTTGATAGTGTGAATGTCAAAGCAACTAAAGTTTTTGAAGAAGGAAAGAGAAAAATGACATTGTTAGTGGCAAAGCCAATGTGAGAAGTAGGTTTTCTACTCCAACTAGTGCCTTGGTCAAAATTCAGGACAGTGACGCCTAAGTGATCATTGACTTCATCAAATCTTAACAGCTTAAAGAATCTTGCCAGTCAATTGGCCAAATTATCCATTTATTTACACAATCATTCTGTGACATCCTTCTTAACTTTTATTTTAGTCTATGTTTGACCATCTTCAGAGAATGGGATGCATCACTTCCCAAGGAAACACTGCATTGCTGGGCAGCTCCAAGAGTGAGTTTTATCTTATTTTTGTCTAAATTAATATTCATAGTCCCCATGATTGGTCTTGTTACTTGATTCCATAAGGCCAACAGAATCTAAGTCTTCTGCAGACAGATATTTCCATATTCATATACACTGGGGCACTCTTCTCCTAAAGATCTTTTCTCTGGGATAATTATATCCAGATACCTCCATTCTTTTTTTGTTTGTTTAAGATTTTATTTATTTATTTATTTGCTAGAGAAAGAGAGAGAGAGAACACAAGCAGGAAGAGAAACAAGCCGAGGGAGAGGGAGAAGCAGGCTTCCCACTGAGCAGAGAGCCCAATGTGGGGTTCGATCCCAGGACCCTGAGATAATGACCTGAGCCAAAGGCAGATACTTTACTGACTGAGCCACCCAGGCATCCCACAGATACCTCCATTCTTCATGATGTGATTTGAATTCCAGTTCCATTCCCAGGATAGTTGCTTTCCTCGAGACACTTTTCAATTATTCAGTATTCCTTTAAAAAGGGCATGATCAGAACCCAAGTCAAGATCCAGTTATTTTCTAATTAGCCCAGTATATGTAGAAATCATCTTACTCTTCTGAGTATAGTTCATTTTCTCTCTAGATCATGTCTGTCTGATGATGTAATTAAATACTATTCTCTGAGTTAGATATCTC